CGACACAAAAGAAGATTCCTGAGAGCGCCCGAGCCATGCCGCGGGACCGAGTGAGCAGCCCAAGGTGACGGCGGCGACGCAGAAGTGGAGAGGAAGCCTCTGGCCGGCCCAGCTCTGTGAGTGACCCCCAGCCCGGCCCTGCTTGCAGGGCAGACGCCTGCCCGGCTTCTGCCGGCCACACCAGGCCAGTCACCGGCACAAGGGCTGCCTCCATTTTCTCGGGTGGGGGCGGAGCCGGCCAGCTCGGCCAGGCCTGCTCTCCTCGCTCAGTGCGGCTCCTCACTGAGCCTTGCCACTTGCTTGCCCCGGCGCGGGGCCTTCTGGGGCCTGCGGACCGGCCTCCCATCCCACTCCCCCCATGGATCTCTGGCGGGGCTGGTGGCGTGGGGAGCCCCTGGCCAGTGTCGGGAGGGCAGGGAAGAGGAGGCCAGCCAGATTGTCACTCCACTGCACCCTGGGCTCCGGCCTCAGGTAAACTTCCTGTTTCCGGGAGGCAGATACCATCTTTGTGGCCATAAGTTCGGAAGAACCCCTAACCAATTTCTGGTTGGGAGAGGTGTGGCCGGAGCGCTCCCAAGCTCGCTTGAACCTGCCAGAGAGCTGACTGCGGGTGGGCGCCGGGCGGATTCAAAGAGGAACTGTGTGCAGTGGGCTCCTCCCCCGAGGAGTGCACGCCCTGGTGTGGGAGACAAGGCAACTACACAAATAACCACAATACCAGGAGGAAGGTGAGAAGTCCAGAGAAAGCCCTACTCAGTGCTACAAAGGCACCCAGAGCGACCGGCAGTCTGCGCCTAGTAGAAACTTGAAAGTCTTCCTGAGTGGGGCGGTGCTGAGCAGGGGCTTGAAGTCCCGGCTGATAGACGAGGGTTGCAGAAGACACGCCCCAGCCCAGTACTGAGCGCACAGAGTCGGGAGGCATCCACCTAAGGAGGCAGAGACTCAGCAGAAAACAGACACCCTGCGGGCCGCCACTGCAAGGTCCAACAGCCCCACCTAGTGCGCACAGAGCAGGAAAACGTCTGGATAGGGAGGCGGAGACTCGGCAGAACACACATACCCTGTGGGGCTGGCAGGGCGTAATCCAGCACCCAGGGCCAGAGCGCACGGAAGAGAGAGAAGTTCTACACGGGAAGTGGAAGCTCAAAAGAGATCACACACCCTGCGGTACCGTCCCGAGATCCAGCAGCCCAGTAGAGTCCAAGCTGACCAGAGAGGAGGCTCCCTGGAGAGGCCCAAGACCCGAGGCAAACACACACATGAAACACTAGAGGCCAACTGAGCAGTCACAGGGGTAGCCATACCAAATTGACAGACACAGCCACACCTTAGTTAGCCAGAGGGTCAAACCTGAGCACTGTGAAACCTCCTGCCAA